CACTATTTTGATGACAAAACATTTGCGATCTAATTCATAAAAGTATTATATATATTTGTTCTTCCTTTTTGTCTAATAACATACTCATGAAATTAAAAAAAAATTTATAATTTATTTTGTACAAATATATGTTGTCTATATATTAAAAGGATGATTATTTTAGATATATATCCCAAACCAAAATTACAAAGCTGTTGTTCCAACGATTGCTGCTATGGAGCACACATCCAACATGCACGCAACACGAAGACTGATGCTGACATCAACTTATGAAGGCGATATGTTTCGAAGTTTAGCCAGTGTTGTTAGTTACGTGCATTTATTATGGGAATTAGTACTTCTTAGTGAACCAATCGTTGTGATGGCAAGCTCACCGACTACATGTTCCGAGATGGTTCAAGCGCTTATAGCGTAAGTATCAAATTAAAATAACTGATACTTGTTATACATCTATAATGCATAACCAGAAAACATTCTCCAGCATGATCGCGCCGTTGAAGTACTGTGCGGATCATCGGCCATATTTTACTATTCACGATTCAGAATTCAAAGAGTACACCACTGATTCTCCGACGCCACCTGCTGTGATTCTGGGCGTGACAAATCCATTCTTTGCAAAGACGCTGCAACACTGGCCGCATATCATCCGGATAAGTAACGGTAACAATAGCGGTAAGTTCTATGGCGCTTAAAGGTTAGCAGTATGTGTTCAAGATTTGATATTTCAGAAGATCAGAAATATAAAATCAAGAGATCTGAAAATCTGAAGGTGCTAGACTCGAAGCCTGGCGTTTACACTCAGTACAAATCTTTCCTGCAGAAAGACAAAACTATACTGAAAAAATTGTTCAGGGGTATTCAAACAAAACGGCCGGGCGAAGTGCAGACCGCGCTTTTGAAACGTCATCTTATAGAACTCACAGAGAGCTTTATGATTCCGCTTGAGAGATACATCGCGACCCTTATGCCACTACAAAAGAACATATCACCTTTTAAGGTAATTAATTATTAGGGATTAATGATTATAGAGTCAGTTTATGTAATTGATGACAATGATTTTTTTCAGGCAACTCCTACACCACAAATGTTCAATCCAGATGACTTCCTAGCTAGTTTAACCAGCTCCGGTCCTCAATTAACTACAGGTATAAAAGGCGATTGGGTAGGACTCTATAAACGATTCTTTCGATCACCGAACTTTTCCGGATGGTTTCACACAAGATATATGGAATTGAGTCAGCAGTTGCAAGTTAAACAGTTAGAGAAATTATCGCAGGCGGTATGAATATTAATTTTTTCTTTTACATTTTTTCATAATTTTATTATAAATTCTTATCAATATAATAATCATGGATAGGATTTAAAAACATGGGTACAAGGGAAGCAGGAAGTGGAAGTAGTCGATATGATTCTTAGAATTCGCCAGAAGTTGGAGAAAAGCTGCATTGATGACGTACCAATCGATAATTCAGTAAGAGAGAAATTGCGAGAGAGAATAAATGACATTACGCACGTATTGCCGGATGATTTAAAGGTGATTTTAAGACATGAATCTTGACGGTACGAGTACGTTATTAATTATAAAACTCGCTAACGTTATATTTATTTCTAAGAGCCCGGAACGTATTTAAGTCAACTCAAAAAGACGTAATATCTAAGATAGATTAAATGCTCTATTCCCTTCCTCTATAACGTAAATGAATGAACGAAAAAGTTATAGTTTATAGTTTGAGTATACGCGATGAGTTACATTAAAAGAGGATGCTGTTATATACGTACTTTAATTTGTAACTCGAAATACTCGCCACAAAATTAACGGATTGATGAAGTAAATTCCTTGTATATATGACAGAAATTAATCATGGAAATATTATCCTATGTGTTTAGCATATCACTTAACCCTTTGAGTACGAAACAGTGTCGAGTGTTCTGCATGGTCGGACCTCAGCTGATGGTAACAAACACAGTCTTTTTTTCGCATCGAGTTTAAGTATCAAGAGATTGCACAACACATATGGATTAAAATATTTACCTTAACTTATGGTATTATTTATTTATACATATTTACATAAATTTATTTGTACATAAATTATTTATGGATAAATTATTATTAATGTTTCATGAATAAATTAGAAAAAAAATACGTTGCACATATATGCGCCCATGATACTCAAAGGGCTAAGTATGTCAATATACTTTATTTTTTATACTTGAATCATGGTATTTCGTATGATTTTGCTCTATTAAGCTTGACTGATTATAGCGTATGCTCGCGAGCGTTATTTAATTTTCTTTATAATGCCAACGTAGTAGCTTCCATCCTCTACTCGACCAAGTAATTTCGATCAATGATTTTATATATGCGGCGATCTTTTTTGTTATCAAATACTGGTAAATACTCTACTTGGGGTAATCAGCGATAACAATAATCGTAATCTCATGAAAATAAGAATTTCAACTCAAGTGGAATGTATGAGATTGAAATGTTAAGTAATGTACATACATTTTTTGAGATCTGTAAATATTGATACAAATGATACGTATATAATAAAAATTTATTTTAATATATATAATAAGATTTTGAATTATTAGAGATATTTATATCTACATTTATATGTAAACGATTTGATATGAGTATAAAAATTATAAAATTTTTATATCTTTTTTTCCCGTAAATATCTTTATTTAAAATATTTTGTTAGGACGGTATTTTGTAATTAGATAATTTTGTTGAAAACAGCGTGTGTAAGGTAGAAGAAACATTAGCTTATAAGAGGTAATATTTTATTTTATTTTATTTCTTACGACTTTTTTATTATTACATTCTCCCAATTACATTAATAATTTTTTCAATAGTTTTATCTTAATGCTTGCGTCATTATATTCTCATTATAATATTCATAATATATTATCATACTTTCAATAGAGTCTCAACAACACACATATATATGTATATATTTATCGCGCAAGTATGACAAATATATACATATATATATATTTATCCATATGTATACATGTATATATATACATATATGTATATATAGGTATCGGGTGTATGTTCATTTTCTTTTTCTTTTTATGAGTGTGAATGCACAGTATCGTAAGATAGCTTTATTACACAATTAATTCACAGAGTTCACTTTATTATTCTGCCGAAGTACACCTCGATTTCTGGCCATCGCGTTTATCTCCTGTCGCTTTCGCGGAAGATAGGATGACGTTCTTGCGCGCGGAAAATTTTATGTCATATAAATCTTGCGTTTTTTTTTTAATCACTTCGGCCGGTGTGTGAGAGAGAAAAAGAGACGGGGAAATTCTTTTTCTCGTGATTTTATGTATTTGTACAGTCGAAGGATCTGGGAGGAAGAGGAACAAAGGTCTTCCTTGGGCTGCCTCGAGAACCCGCGCATAATACTAAAGAGAGCGGATAAATGCGATTATCGCCTTTGCTTTACTTCGACAGACTTAGGCCTGGGTGAATTGCGCCTCCTTAAGTAAATCTTACAAGCCTATCGACTAAAAACACGAATGGAAACTTTACAACGAGCTTCTCTTTGGGAAAAGATGAACGCGGATGAAGCAGCGTTTTTTTTATTTCTTTAAAGGGCTCGCGCGGTCACAGCCGAACGCGAGCGGACTTTTTCTCGGATTGTGAGAGTATTGATATAATAATACATATCGTATAAGCCGCTCGCCGTGCGGTTTCTGGAGAAACGATCTTATCGCATTACCGTGGTACTCCTTTCATCCCGGGGATGACTACTTGAAAGGAGGGAAAAAGTCATTCATGGTATATAAATTGACTAAATACCTGAATTGGGCGTGCAACGGTGCACGACGCAAAACGAACGTCTCAACGGGAAACGCAAATGCCGACCTGCTCGATGATTATTTATTCCCGATTTATTAGTCCTCGTACGGGATTTATAGTGGAAGACGTGGACCTTTTGAAAGATTTATAAAATAAGAATCTAATGCACGAAGATTTACTTTTGTGTTAAATACTTTGTTTTTATCGCTACTTTCCGCGATTGTGAAATGCAAATATTTTTATATTTTGAGTATATATTTAGATAAGTGTAACGATCTAATTTACATTCTTGTGACAAAAATCACTAATCAAACAATTTGCGTTTAGCATCAGATGTACGATAAAAATATATGACGATGATTTATTCAACAGAATTCATCCGCCAAGATTTATTATAGGTAATTAAACGTAAATAATAAAACCGTATAAAAATAGTAATTAAACTCATAGGTCCATGTTTTCTTTTCCTCACTATAAATCCAGTTGCTTTCACTCGTTCGCTTCGATCCGACGTTTGTTCACCTTTTCGCACGTGTCTCGCGTTTTGCCTTTTGTTACATTCATGCCATTGGCATTACGATATGATCTCGTTATAGAATTATTTGATGTTACGTTAACATGCGAACGCGAAAAATTCTTCTTGCGGCCTGAGCTAGACCCGTTTGTCTGCACGGAAAAGATATCCCGATAAAACTGTCGATAAACGTGTTTTTCTTTATAATTCACGTGAGGATGCTACTTTGTGCGATTAATCAATAATATTTTTTGATCGTAAACCGTAGTTTCGCGTAACGCGAGATTTTATTGTCGCAAGAATCTAAACTCCGAAAGTCGTGTTTCTTCCCGTTTTTTCCGTTGGCAGAGAACAATTGGACGGTATGTCACACCGAGAACAATATTGCCCCAACAAAATGTTACGCCGCGCGACTTTCGCAATCGAAACTGAAAATCTCATTCTCGCCGGCGTGTTTTACAAGATAGGGCTTGAGCTCGAAGCTTGTCGTAATTGTCTCGAACAGAGTTGTAAAATGCACATTTTGTGTGTTTACTTATCGTAATTGTCTTTAGAGTTGTTACGGCATATGTTTAACGTCAATCCTTGTGAGTTGATTTACGACTCTGTTAGGAACAATTATGACAATCTTTATGCTCGAGCCTTTACAAATGAAACAGCGTAATATATGCTCCATTAGAGTTTCTGTCAATGCAATGATTTATTACGATATTTCGTCCGTACAGACAACGCGAACATGTCATTCTTACAGCGTATAATTCACTTTGACACAATACAAACAACGCATAACGGAACACTTCCGTGATCGATAAGAATGAATTTAAAGACGACACATTCTCCTTTCAATCGTCGTCATCGTTGTCGTCATCGTCGCCGGCAACAATCTTCGCATCTTATCTACGGATTTCGCCAGAAACATATATGCTGAACAAAAGATATCGCTAAATCTAGTGCCTTTCCCAATCGTAAGACATTCCGCGTAAAGTCATGATAAAGTCATCAGATATTAGTCGAATCAATCTTTGTCTTTGACACGTTTTCGTAGATTGTATCGCTTCTCGACAATAATTGCTGGCAATCAACAATGCAACGAAAAGCGCCATTGCGATAAAGCATCGACTTGTAAAGAAAGGATGACGACCAACGGCGCATTTACGCTTCGAAGCGTCCACTTACACGAGGTTGAGATCTTTTAGTACATTTAAAAATTATGAAACAATGTTTTTCATAATTATTCGAGAATCGTTAATTTTGCAGGGCGACCTAGACTCGCAAAAAATGCACCACCGACCACCGTAATCGTCGATCCACACTCGAAACGGTGTCCTTCCACACGGCAGTGTAATTTATCTTGAAAAAATTGTCGATCCTTCGATCACGATGAAGAACATTCGTGTATAAGAACAACCGTGTTGCCGTGCATCTCCGTCGATCAAGCTTCAAATTAATTTTACTTTAATATCACACAACTTTGAAGATATTTATTATTACAATCAACATTACGTTCTCGGACAAGAGCGCCCGATAATTGACATAAGCTTGTGGTGTTAATTAATTCATATGTTCTTCAACATTTCTCTCTCTCTCTCTCTCTCTCTCTCTCTCTCTCTCGAGCTACAACAACCGGATGTCATTTTGTAATTCGGAGGTAGAAGCACAAAGATTCATACGAATATGTATATATTTGATGAAAATCGTACGAGTACGTGAGCCTTTCTGCTGCACCACCAAGCTGTAAAACGGCGATGGTGGAGGAGAAAGGACCATCGTGTTCATCGTGTTCGAGGATCGTAAAGAAGCTGCTTTTCTTTTCGAGAAATTAAAAAAGAACCGAAAGAAAGAGTAGACTTTCCTTTCTATCTTTCTCGCTTTTCTTTATATAGCCACGATCTTCACATTTGTCACTACAGCAGTGATTTTCCGTGTGTCGGAAATACTTCGTGCGGTTTTCGGTTTATATCCTTATACTTCATCCCGATATACGCTTCTTGAGGACGAGACGAACTTCAAAGAATCTCGCGTCATTTTTATTCACGTTTCTTTCCCTTAGGAAATCGACAATGGATCGAAATAAAAGGAGGAATTCTTCTGAGACGCTCCTATGTAACTACATTCTCTCTACGAAAGGGCGGTTTCATGTATTCTATTTTACCGGGGTTCATGCGGAGACAGTCGCGAGACAAGCCAAAATAAAACACGACTCTCGTAGCTTCTTCACGTTGAAGAAGCCAATACGAATGCGAAAAGAATCCTATCGATCTCAATGACTGGACTTCTAAGTTTTCGTGTCAATATACGACGACGATGAGAGATTGCCGTCCTTAAGTAGCACGACTTCTCCACGTAACGAATGAAAGAAAGTACAATCGAAGTCTAAAAAAAAAAAAAAATTAAATCGCTCTTGTCAAATTTTAGTCTTTCTTTTTACATTAAAGCACGAATAGAACAAGCATTCAAAAAGGTATAAAATAGATTCTCCTTAAAAAATAGCGTTACGATATCGTAAAATTAACGCACGCACAATGTGAGCTTCAATCCATCGGTCGATTCGATTTCGTAGAAAATAATTGATTGAATCGACGACTCGATCTTCGCCGAGTATCGCTTTATCTTTCATTTCTCTCCTTCTTGTACGGCAATGTACGGTCCAGGATCAGGAGATTAACGAGAAATTATAATAATTTACAAAAGAAATTCGCGAGCTTCTCTGTATCAGAGAGAAAGTTCCAATGCGAAAACCAACACGCTAATCTCGCTATTCGCGCGGGATCTCAACGTGGAGCGACCCTCTTATCCGGTCACGAAGAGGATCTCCTCGGCTCACTTGAGGTCCTCGTCGTCCTCGTTGGCGAGCAGCTCGTCGATCTGCTTCTCCCAGTCATTATCGTTGGCCGCGATGTCTTTTGTGGCCGTCGCGACGCTCCTCTCCTGACCGCTGCTGTCACCGTTATTGTTGCCCGTTACAACCTCGTAATCCTTTAGCTCGGCCTCCAATTCACGTTCCCAATCTTCTTCTGCGGAGAGGCACAAGCAGCGTTGTAGCTATTTTGCAGAGAGGGCCACACTCTGGTCTTGTTTGTCTGTCTGTTTCGTCTGTTTGTATTTCCGCGCTGAATATCTGAATTTCTTGTGCACGGAATCATTTTATGTGTTTAAAGTGTGTACCTGTATGTGTGTGTGTGTGTGTGTGTGTGTGTGTGTGTGTGTGTGTGTGTGTAAAGTATAAAAGTATCAGAAGGGGCAAAACTCAAATTACAGGACTGGAGAAATTAAAGGGATGGAGAGAAAAAGAACATACGAGAGCAACGGAAGCAAGAGGGAAAGGCTTCGACGTTTGTGTTTCGAAAGCTTTCACTCTAAGTTCGGTTCGTTAAGCGCGTTAAAGACAGGGATACATTAGTAGCTTGAGAAAGAGAGAAAGAGAAAGAAAGAGAGCGAGAAAGAGAAAGAAAGATAGAGAGAGGAGATATTATATGATTATCGAGTACATCGCGATCGTACGCGTTTTTTCTTATTTTTTTCTATGATTATGTTTCGCGGATGACGACGACGACGACGACGTCTATCACACGATCACCGACTATATAACTCTTTGGAAATTACAGCGAATTGCCGGGAGGAGTAGCTAGAGTTAATCACGTTTCGCTTAACGTACTTGTTACAAAAGTGACTGATTCGCAATTACAAAAGTAATTAATCGGAATATCACGACTTAAACGCTTCAGGAATGCGATTATTCGTACACTATCGCGAGAATAATCCTTGCGCTTCTCAATCCTCAAGCCAACGGTGTCTAAAATCGTGTTTTATATATACGAGTTATAAAAAATAGTAAAATCAATACTTTATATACGCACGTGCCGAAAAAGCATGTCGAATGTAAGAGTAAGTAATTTTAGTCCGAGAGGATCATTGTGGAAAAAAAAAAACAGCCAAAATAAAAAATATTAAAATGGATTTCATTTTTGGCGACCTGTAGCTCGGGTAAAATTTTACACAAAATTCTATTAAAATTTTATATAAAATTTCAAATAGCATACATTTCTTTTGTATTCCAGTATTCGCGCTAGTTTTAAACGCAGGTTTTGGACACCGTTTGCGTTGAAATAAATTATCGTTCAAGCGCGAAATTATTTAATGTTACGTGCGTACATTTAAAAGTCGTGCGAGAATAAACTAGTGGTAGTAGGCGTCAATAAATATTGCGGCCTCTCTAAAAATGTTTAATCTTGAATAATATCTTCTTGCGGTGCATTTCCAGTCGCATCGCCTGTCTTTATCCCTGTATTATCCGCTCCAACAGCTAAAACGAGCTTACGGGTAATCCTAAGACTCAGCTCAAATGTACCTGGATGTAGCCGTCTCTAAGGAAAGTAAATGATAGAAAATAACAGCGACGGCCGGCCGTCTCGCGAGACGTTTCTTTCTTTTTATAGACAAAATACATAACATGAAATACTAAAAATACTAAAAATACACGAAATCCGCAAAATGCTTACTTAAAATCCGATTCTATCGATTCGTCCTTATCTACATACATATGCCGGATGATAATTTCAATTCTCCCGACGCGGAAAAGTCGTGCGGAGAAAAAAAATGCGCACCGAGAAGTGAAAGTCATAATTCAGTTGTCACCGATTTTTATCGGACTGCACGAAAGCAAATAATCCGATATTTTTCGTGCGTATTTTTACGAAAATCGTCTCCTCCATAAAATTGCACATAGTATATACTAAATTAAAAAAAAGATAGAATATAATAGAATATAAATGCTATAAAAATAGAATATAATAAAATATAACGTGCGAAAAAATCGTATCGTTCATTATTTTACTTCCAGATAATCATGCTGCGTCTCTACAAATTCTTTACTTGTATTTTCGATTTTAATATATATAAGTGTAAAGATAATAAAAAGCGATGCAACATGTGACGGATGGTGAATTAAATAAATACGTATGAAATGTATGACTTTCAATTAAAAAAAAAAAAAGAATCAACTTTGCTTATTTCATTACGTGATAAAATACTATAAATGTACAAAATTCAAACGCAAGTATCAAATAAAACCCTGTAATCTATCTAATCATCATAATACTGTTAATGTCGGCATTTCCTGCGATATTATAATAATTCTTAACAGAAAAACAGAATTCTTACTGCTATTTCGATAATTTATAGGACATCGCATCGCCGCGGGCGGGGTTTTATATCGATCGCAAAAGTGCGTTCGTTTTGTCTCCTTTTCCCGATCCAGGTATTAAACGCATCTCTCGCATAAATCTCCACGATAGACGCATACAAATCGCTCGTCGGACGCATTTACGTTCTACCCAATCGTTTGCTGTCCGCGTGGAAAAAAAAAAATTCGCCACGCGCGTAATTAATTTATCCTGCTTTTCCCATCAGCGGACGATCAGGTGCCGCTTAAAACGGATCGCACCTCCTCCCCTCCCCGGCAGCCGCATTTTTTTCATATCGAAAGAAAAACACTACAATAGCTATACCACCCACGAGAATGCCGGGCACCAGCGGTATTATAGCTCGTTTCCCGGTAAAACACGTATTGTCATTCAACGAATTTTACAGCGACGCGATAAAAATCCGAATGCCCTCCACCAATAATCCGAATCTCACGAAATCGTCTCTCTCGTCTCGCAATTTAAGATTTTCAATTCTCTGATATACTTTTTGCAAGAGTCTGCAAATTTTCTTGGAACATGATTAATAGTAAGGGGAGACACACGTTGTGATATCGCGAGGAGGATCACGGAGGAAAAATTTCGGATTACACAAATATCGCGTCGCTGTCTTTATATTTTATTTAGCAATAGTATATATATATATTTATACATATATATTTCTCTTTTATTTTCCTTAGGTCTCCATTTAATTAATCTCTTACGAAGATATACTTATAATTAAGTTTACAGTTTGCGCAACGTAATCTCTCGCATTTCATCAATAACTGCGTTATACTTTCCGATTTCTTTATACTTTTCTTCGGTCGTTATTTCTGCTTAGTTGCTTATTTATGCTTTACAAAGACACGGAGAGAATCGAGAACAGGCTAGATTAATTGAAATTGATACAGAGAAAGAGAGACAGAGAGTGGCAACGGCAAAACGGCCAAACATACAGACACGTAGCTGAATATCTTTTTCTTTACTACTCCGATTGTGTATGTACGTTATTTTCTTTCTCGTTCTTCGTTCTCTCGCGGAACCTCCCTTTTATTGTTGTGTTTGCATCTTGTTTTATTCATTACATTCGCGTACGTGTGCACAACGTTTCGACGTGACGACGTTTTGTTTATCTAACGTTTCCTTTTCCTCTTTTCCACTACGTTTCATGTTCGATTTTTCGCGATTCGACGAGCTCAGCGTGTCTTCGACTGGGCAAAATTTCAAATACATGTATCTCGACATAAATATTCAAAATAAAAAAATATCACTTTTAACATTTTCCAAACTAAAATTGCGAGTATCTTGCGTTTAAAATATTCTTTTTTTTTCTCTGCCGAACTTTTGCCTGTCCCCGACGCTGTTCGCCAGCGTTTCGCTTCCCACGTCATCATTCGATTCTCAATTCGTCATCACCGGTTGATTGCAACGTGAATTGTCTCGTTTCTGGTCTCATTACTGATTCAGGTATTAGCGTTTAATGACAATCGGTGCAATGACCTCGCAATGTGACAGTAATAATAACGATAACGATATCCACGTCATAATCATGCAGCATTACGCCCGGCTGTATATACGTACGTTTCTCTTGGTTTGCTTAATCCCTTTGCTGCGATACGCGTTAACGGCGAACGTGCGCTGATTGCAAACTTGTCTCGTCGAATGCCGGAACTAAGCGTTCCCCAATGCATTATGACACTTGCATCTAAAAGGATCGCGCAAAAGTATATATTGCGCTTGTCCCGGTCAGCTTGTCTCTTCGAGCGGTCGTTAAAAGGTATATACCCTTAATTGGAAATATAAAAATGCCCTCAGTATCCGTTCCAAGATATCTCAGCCCTCTTCTACGCGAAAGTAAAATTCGAGAGATCTTTATATAAATCGAGTACTCTCTAAGATCACTACAGTCACTAACAACAGAGAGCCTGAAACGCTACTTCACGTGAAAATTTCTCTACCACACTAATTAAATTTATGTTTTCAATGACGGATCTGATCTCGCGTAATGTTTTAAAATCGGACTTTGCTGCTTCTTACGCGCGTTCATTTCGTTCCGGAATCATAGAGGAGGCGTTTCACACTTTACACACAAACTTCTTCATCGATTCGTACTCGACGTCGCATTTAATAGAGCTGATCCTTGCGACTGGCACGGAATCGCGTGGGCTGCCGACGATCGGAAACGGAATATCCGCGAAGAAGGAACACGCTGTTCATCCCGTGGAAACGTTCGTGTCAAGGAGGGGGTGGCTTCGCGATCGAACGTAACAGAAACGGAGCAATAAAGAGGAAAAAAACAGAGAAAGAAAGAAAAGAGACGGAAATAGGAATGGGAGAGAGAGAGAGAGAGAGACGCGAAAAGAAATTTTGGTATCGTAAGAACTGAAATTGTCAGTTTTCGAGAGTGGGAAGCATGTATATCTCTGAGGGGTGTGCTTTGGATAATGGCATTTGGGGGGCACTCTCCTCTTCTTTTAGGCTGTTGACAAAATAGAATGAAAAGCGGTCGTTTAGTTAAAGCGCCCATATAAGAGAGAGAAAAAAAAAGAAAGAGAAACGTTTAAACGCAACAGACGTTCAACATTGGCAACGACATGACGCACGATGGCACGTCGTTGCCACACACTAAGAATTCGGAAACAAGCAATTCCTAAAGAAAGCACAGACAGGAAGATTGAAGGGATGTACAGAGAAGCTACGTAAGAAACGACACTAGCTTGGTGGTGGTGTAATACATTGAGAAATTAAGGTCAGGCTTTTCGCGCGGTGGCATTAATTTCATACTCACGAGGAGAGTACTCTTGGACCGTGTCGTGGCACAGATCGAGCTCTTGCATCGATCACCTCGGTGACCCGTTTCCGTTTTGCTGGTGAGATCAATGAATGATACATAATCTCTGGCAAGAAACAGTTTTCAAGAACTGCATTTCTTATAGCTGATACATTTCGCTATTTAACGAGACGGAATTTAGTGAGACACAATTACCTGGAACGACCTCTGCGTTCCTTCAAAATTATACTTGCAAGAACTATGTAATGTATAATTACATTCAACGTAGATCTTTCTTTTTTTTAAATCTAATTTTATATATTAGGTGTTGGAATTAATTCGTAGCGTTTTACAAGTGATGGGAAGTACTTTCATTAATGTATTTTTTAATGCTCATGTGAAATAAATAACATTCTTTCATTTAAAAACGCTACGAATTAATTCCAACACCTAATAGTTAAAGACTTGCAGAAACGATAATAAAAAATTGCAATTATATATGGATACTCTCTGAGAATTATTCACAAACTCCATAACGATTAAATATTTCAATTTTGTTTGGTATCGTTCATTAATCACCAGCAAATAAGGAGAACGGCGTCTTCATATAATTATGTAAAATCTCGTTGGTGGTCGTAACTAATGAAAACCAAGGAAATGGGAAAATCTAAGATTCTCTGGATGTAAATCATTCTAGACAAAGTAATTTCACAAATACAATCTGCCGTCATAGAAATTCGAAAATTCTCATTTAAAAGTCAAACCGTTCTGCGAATACCGCAATCCATTTAGAGACCAAGTCTAGAATTACTCTCGTTTCTTGCCATTACCGTGATATCTTTGCGTCTTATCGACGAAGATTATCGCGGGGAGAGCCGCGATGAGAATTAGCGATGGAGACGGCGAGATCGACAGATCGCATCTGATCTTGTGCGTGGGAAAGTTAACGACGACCAACGATCAACGACTGACCTTTCGGCGGCTGCATCCCCAGCTTTTTCATCCCCTCTCGGACCTCCTCGAGGTCTGTGTCCGAGACCCTCATGGTATCGGATACGAACTCGTGACCTGGCGAATCGGCTAGCGCGCTGTTACTGCTCGCCGTCGTGACTCCGGTGGTGGTTGTCTGGCCAGTGGTCATTTGAACTGTTTGCAAGACAACACTGACGGCTAAACTATATGGGTAGGGGTGCGTGTGTATGTTCGTGTACATGAGGATGCGTATTATTATGTACATTAGCACGTGTGTTTATGTATCTAATATACTAACGCTAAGTCTACTGGAATCTGATTTCGCACGCAAACGATCGGTAATCGTGAACAGGGGTTGCCTCGATTGTTTACCGAAGCCGATTGCGCCCAGTTCCAGCAACGCCGAAGCAGAACCTTGATTAATCTAAGCGCCAAAGAGGAATGACAGTTAATTAACTTAAGAGATAAATTAAACACACGAGCGTTCTAAAACGCGTTCTTTTCACGAAAGTAACTGTTAACGCGAGTGTCACTCTAAGGAATCTATTCTTGAATCTATATCGCATACGAAAATCTATAATATACGTGACATATATTATAGGATTTTTTCGTATGTGATATTTTTCAAGAATGTCAAGACCGATTATTATTATTCAAGACTAAGACATGCATAGTGAAATAGCGAATGGAATCGAAATATTAAATTTATATTGGCGACGAAAGTCATCTTTATTCACGGTCTAAATGTCAGAGAAAGTCTCCGGGATGTTTCTCGACGTTTAAGGATACTGCGAAATGCCGCTCGTAAATCTTAGAATGCAAAAATACCATTCTTTCATACCCATCTTTCATCATCTGAGAAATATTTGGGATATCCGTATTCTTCGACCGAATATTACTGAATCTCCAAGCGTTTTCTTCCCGATTCAATTTCTCGCGATACACTGGAACTGGAGCGAAATCGGATCTTTCTTCCACTCAAAGGAGAGACGAGAGTCTTCGGTTCAATGATCGGAGACACGGTGCGGTGAAGAGATGGACCGTGAAAGAGAAAAAGAGAGAGAGAAAGAGTAACAGCAAATACCCCAAATTCCTACCCTATTCACGGAATAATCTTTGGCTTCAAGGATATTTTAACGCGTTCGCTCATTTCCCCATAATCGATTTCCCAACTCGACCACCGAGTATTTCCCTTAATCCGTTAATTCATCTGCACCAATCGCAATTACATTGTTTGCACAGTTAAAGAATTGATCACGAGACTCCTACTCTTTCTTTCTCCCTTTCTCTCTCTTTCTCCGATACCGTAATCCCGATGTGACATCACGTTTCGTGCAAAAGCTCATGTACACGAACGCATTGATACAAATCATTGACGATCATTAAATAAACTGTTTTGCCCGAAAAATTTAATTTGAACAAAATTCTGTACTCATGCCTTCTATCATTTAGTTCACGGTAGAAAGAATGAGATCTTGTTCAAAATCTCTTTTGTTAAACGAAATTAATTATTTCATAATGTTTCATGAAAGAACATGGGACTTATTAGTAATTAATTATCAACGTATTATTCTCACATGAATTTATACGCACAATGAAATTATGTATTATACATGAAGAAATTGTTATTAATATATATCGTGATATCATGATACATTATGTATAATAATATCAAAATATCAGCATATCGATTTCGTGCTGCGTTAACTTTCACGTGGATTACGTAAATGCAATGTTGTACGCGTCTGAGTCGTAGTAATTACTCAATTTCAAATTCGATAACCTTGTCAAATATTAAAGACGTTAAACGGTATCTTCGGCCGATTAAACTTTAAATTTTAATTTCGGGCTTCCCTTGGATCAATACGTTCCCAGCATCCGGCATGACATTTGCACAGAAAACGCACGCCACTACAGACACACCATCTCAAAAACTCCACGCCATGCAAAAAGGTCCATCGTGGGACGCTGCTAATCGGAATTGCAAATTAGGCGTAAATGCAGCGCGACGCCGCCGATCTCTCTGCCCTTTTCCAAAGGTTGCATCTTGCAGCTTGCATCATTCAACCCGGCGGAGTTTATCTCGGCAAGACGTCGTGCCGCGATGTCAAAGGGGAAGTCCTGGCCGCTAGACAATTGGAATTTTCCGATTTCTTAATGAATAATACTTCAGTCAAAAAATCTGATCGAATATTATGTTCAGAATCACGAGTAGAATTAACATATAATAATTAATATCATTATTGTCTAATTGGACATCTTGATAATCGACGTCACAATAGTAAAAGCATTATTTTCAATTTCATTCAAAAGTATACATTGCTCACAATTAAATATAAAATTTTGAATAGATTTCGTTCTCATTAATATGTACGTATATATTTCAGCGGCATATAGGATGTCCCCTTTAAATTTATAGAAAGCTGCGTGCTTCGTAATCGATATTAACAGATCAGGAAGCGCGTCGAGCGACGATGCTCTCGAGCAAAACTGGAGAACCTAATCACGTCGCAATGCCAACGTCGGCGTACTACGCAAACCGTTCTACGTGACAAAGAAAAAAATAAATAAAACAGAGTAAACGAATTACCTTGAGTATGATCGATGCTATCGGTGCTGGCGAGCGTTTGATTGGGGTTGCTTTCTGCTTGCTGTTGGCTGGCCATCGCGTTCAATTCGTAGCCCTGACGCAGCAAGGACACCCGATAGAAGTAGTTGCGCCAGAAGTTCTCCTCGGATATACTATCGCAAATAGGTCGAATGAGTTCTCGAAATCGATAAAGGGGTTTTAACGAAGGGATCAGATTCCGGGCTCAGGATTAGCAGTCACGCTAATTAATGTTGCGCTTCGCAACAGTGTTTCATCGAAGTCGCAAACTAATTAATCGTCGAAACGATTAAATCAACATAATACTCATATTCCTGCACGATACTTTCGCGCGGTAATGGCCCTAACTTGTAGCCCTTGATATTTATATATAGAGGTGAAAGGAAAACGCAGTCAATTTCAAAGTGGTGAGATCAACTAATTGTTTAAATCAAGCAATAATGAAAGGGCAAATTCTACATTAACTTTTTATCGACGTTTTTATTGACTGCTCGTTATCAATCTACTATAAAATTCTTTTCTGACCTTTCTCTATTTCGTGCACCGTTTTACTGAAATAGACGAAATTATGAGGACAATAAAATGCATTATTTTCGTCGAATGTTACAACGTAATTTAATTAGCTTTTTCATGTTTCGTAGAATATAAAATTAATTGAACATGATCTACGGTACTTTGAGAAAACAAGTTCACGAGTCAATTGATGAAACTAAATTATATTTTCATAATGGAAATTATATTTTGATAATAAACTTTATAATTAATACAAACTTTATAATTTTCATTCGTCGACAATGTAATAATAAACGAACATAAATGTTATTTAATTTTTTATTACATATTGCGCGAATTATCAGAATTATGATTTTCCGAGCGCAATTTTATTTTTGCAGCATAAAATACGTATCATAATCATTAATTTTATATAACATATGTGAGATTATACTTGCTTTATGAATTTAGCTTTAATCATTTAAAATCCTAAAGTAACGAGAATTAATTGAAAAATGTAAACCTATTATTTTCGACATTTTCGTGATATAAAATAAATAGAGCGGAAGAGAGACATTATGGATCATTATAACAAGGCATATTTTAATCTACTTACACTTTCGGGACAAGCTCGAACCTCATAGCTTCAAGATTCGGATCCAGGGCAAGGGTGGCCTGTGCCATTGGCTGAACAGCTTCGAAATCCCAAGCGAATTCTACGCCTGGTGGTGGTGCTCTCACGAAATTACGTCGATCCTGAAATCCATGAGAAGGTTGAATCCTCGTTTAATTCTGCCGGCTTGACTAAAGCCAAATTGTGATCCTTTATAACGATGCGCAAGAAAATAGCAAAATGTAAATAAACAACAGAAACATTCTTTCCTCAAAAATGGAAATATTTTTTCTAATTAATCGCTACCAGCAGTTTCAAGTTATAAAAGAATAATTACAATCATTAAAACGAAAATTATTACAGCAATATTATTATTTCCATTGGAGGAAATGTATTTATTATAATTATGAAAAATTTTGCATATATATATGTATATATATATATATATATATATACACATCGCATTATTTTTACATATTAATTATGCAACACTGTTCCTGAAAATTATTTCGTTAAATTATAAAACATGACTTCTGACTTTTATTTAAGATTTATTTTTTATGCTACAATTAAATCTAAATGCCAATTTTAGGCGAAAAAAAGTGGACAGAAATGACTATCAAAAATATAGTACTTATCGCATAAAATTTTCAATGCGTGTTGCATGAAACTATTTTCATTAATGACATTTGATGCAGTTTTAAGAGTTTTTATATTAAAAAATTATATTTATATTTATATTTATATTATAATTATATTAAAAAATGCGATGAAACTAGTAAATGAAATAAAAATATAATGAAATGAGAATATGAGAATGTGAAAAATTCAGTGACATCTTCACGTCATTCTTGTGTGGTGTAATAGTTAATTAATTTTATCATGCACCGTTATCTTTGTGACGCATACAGTTTTGCGCTGGTTTGAAATAAGATAAAGGCGTGTTTATAAATGAATAGATATAAAAATTTTTAAGTCCATCAAAAAAATCCACTTTTTTGTGTCTCGAACGAGTAACACTAAAGTGCTAAACGAATATTAAATATCGAATATCCATATTGATTACGTTCGTATGACAAAAAGAGGATAAACAACATAATTACGGTCGAGAGGGACAGGCACTCCTCACGCAGTGCGTCCTCATTTGGTGCACCAACCCACGGTGCAACAGCCTCACCCTTCTCGCCTATTTGCTTGCTGGCGATGAAAGCCTCCTGTTCCTTATTGAGTTCAGCAATCAGCCTCTGAAACAGAGAATTAATTTTCATGTCAGTAGCGTATCGCAGAAGGGATTGAGTTGGACAAAGGTGCAAACGCGAATAAAATGAGTTTTGAAACCGATTCTAGGTTATTAACGCGAAAGCGTTATGCTAACTGGTGGTAGAAATAGCGCCGAATCTGCGATAAGTTTCATTTCAAAGCTTATTACCGTATAGATGACACCCTGTGATTTTCGGTCATCAATTCGTTCTCCTTTGCAGGTATTAGCATCAAGATTACCGAGAATATGTCTGCATTTAATGTGTGTTCCTATGATGAATTGCAGGGATATATGAATCCATATGATTAACGCAATTATCTTAAAATAAAAAAAAAAAAAAAAAAAATAGATTTTTGAAAATATTTCATATAAAATTAAAAATTTTATTTTATGCTCCTTATATAATTATGTAAAACATATTTATATATGTATCTCATAAAAATTTAATTCTATTACATATTTTTATTCAAAACTTATAAGAAAATGTAAAATTAGGTCAAATTTCTATCTTCTTCGACACAATAATTATTTAAGCAATTTATAGATTTCTTTTATCCCGAATTTGAAACGAGCAAAAATTGAAACAAAATCGATGAAGGGTACACTGAAAGAAAAGATTGGTTGCTACAACAATTTAAATAGTAAAATATGGCATATTTATATGGCTGCAGCAAATTTTTAGTTGCGTAGCCTATCGAAATCATATAATACTAACATTGTGGATAGGCTAACACAACTAAAAATTTGCTGCTACAATCAAAAACTGGTTGCTACAGCGCCATATAAAAATGCTATATTATATTTTACTATCTAAATTGTTGCAGCAATCAATTTTTTTTTCAATGTATAATATACATTCAAGAAGACACAAAGTGTACTGTTTAATGCAGCGTAAATCTCGACAGTTTCTTACCAGTGCGATCGTGAGAAACAATGAGATCGCTCAATTTTTCAAAACGAGGCGCTTCACCATATAACTACGACGTCTCACGCTATACGGAAGTTTCGGATAAGAATTGATGGCACAATTTTATCCTTTGGTCGTGTTCTGATCATTAAACGTAACAAAACTTTCTTTTCGAAGAGAAGACTTTTTATCGTGGATAAAAGTTATCCTCTCATATATAAAAATTATAAAATATATTTTATTGATCGTTAAGAGCATGTGCGTTGACGTAGAGAGTTTCGTCGTAAAATATATGTAGAAACTTATTGATAAATGTTGCAAACGGATTGACGCTGCATAAGTAATGATGAAAAACGAGCATCTTGTGGCTTAACGATGATTTGAGTATTTCGAAATCCAATTAAATTCGCTTTTACAAGCTATCTTCTTCTTAAAGTATTCCGATTCCGATTATTTCTGTTTACAGTAGTCGAAAGGTGTGATTAACGAGGATCGGTTGTATTTATAAAGTTACAAATATCTATAAATCTTCTCCCACGCGCACTCGTGTGGATCGAAGAAAATGCCATTATTCGGTTTCGAAAGAAGAGATATTATAAATACATTTCTCACAGAATTTATAACAGAGATTGTACTAAAGTTGCAGAAAAAATTGTGCATAGTTCGTATAAAAATCAAGTTTTTATTTCACAGAACGATTTACATAATTTTTTCAGAACTTTTTTTTTTAATAAACAATAGCTTGATGGCTAAAATAGATTCAATTTATTTTTAAGCGGAACTACTGCATGTCAAATTATCCAGAAGTTAGTTTCTTAATGATAAAATTCTCGTTTACATCGCAATTCTTGCTAACGCGTCCTTGTTATCGGGTTATTGATTTTTCATTTCCGACATGTTTGTACGCTTGAGAAAATTAAATTAAATTTAACATAAAATTTCTGTTTAAAAAATGAAATATTTATAGCTCATTCAGGATAACACGAATACAGAGATAGGTGTAGTAAATAATAGGTGGAATAAAATTGGCGTGTTGTAGATATCGAATCGACAGACTTATTTTCTGATTCGGCGTCGAGATAGCTGCTATTTCATTTATAATGTATGCTTACCCGCGTCCCGGCGTTTTTACAGCGAATAGTTACTCGAATTTCCGGCTAAAGTGTCACTAATTTTCTCGTACTATTATTATACTATTTTTCTTCGTAACAACTGTCGATACGCGATTCCAACCGCGTACCATTGCGATAGCAATCGCCAAATAAATTTGTAGCATCGTTGCATTATACGGAATGGCTGTATGATCCCAGCAGCCGAGAAATTCTCGATGAAATGATTGCAATGCGTGTTCCCGCTCGTAAGCGGGATATTGACTTCATCGCCGATAAATCGATTCGTGCAATCGTATGACAGTAACAAAATATCAGTATACTCTCGGGATCAGAATAAGAAACGTCGTTGTGAGAATGGAGAAAGGAAGGAAGGAAATGTCATATGTTCAGAATATATAGAGACTCATCCATATATCTTCGAACTGTGACATTAATGTAATCTTGGTAATATCGATAAAAGAACCAACAAGATACAAAACGTTTCAAAAAAATTAATAATAAAAAGAGTATAATAAAATAATAAAAAGCTAGAACGTTTTTCAAATAGAAAATAGTAAAAGCTGTAAAATTTTTAGCTGATTCAAAGACTAAAATTGATTTTTAATTAAATACATATTTAATATTGAAAAATAAGTGATTACACGAACGTCTGTGCACAGCACAGTTTAATGAATCGTAAAAGAATTATAATCGATAAATCAAGATCTGGAATAGAACTTTTGCCTCTGTTTTCTTTACGAAGCTTAATGCATAGTTCGTTATGTCAAATGTTACAAAACTTTAAAACGACACCGTTGTACTTGATAATTTCGCGCATCTCCGCAAATATATTTGTACAAAGGTAGTTCTCTTTCAAAGTGAATCGATATATCGCTTCTCACGGTAGATTGAATTTATTTGCGTTAAACGGAACATTAAAGAGCCGAAGGGTAAAAGATATAGCATGTCAAATCGATTTCTTAGCGATTACAAACGAGCTCGACGATTAATCGCTTCCTGGCTGATTCTTTTCGGGAATCTATTTTACCACCAAGATAGATACTACATTTTCACACCTTAATGTGCCATCGCAAATTTGATTTATAGCGTCACGTTGACGTACACGGAAAATCACTGAAAGTGTGTCAGCTATTGTATAGAAACTAACAAGAGCTATTCGTATGCCAATCCCATGAATCTTTAGGAAATCCCATAAGTCTCGATTTTATAAGAATTGAAACCTTGGAAGGAAAATTTGCAAAACAATGTACATCGTATATTCAATCTAAATTAGAATAAATATTGAATCAGATTGCTTTCAACTTTCTTTTCTCATGGGATTGTGACTTTCAAAAAATAACTCTTAAAATATCTACTACGATGTCGTCGTCAATTCTGATCTTTTAAACGTTATTTTTATCAGAAAGTTTACAGTTTTATTACAGAAGTCTCTTTTATCGCTATATAATTATATAATATACTCGCATAGTTTTTAATAATTTATCTCCCCCCTCCTTTTTTTTCCGATTGAGAAAGTTGCGTAATTATAATATATTGCATTTTCTAATTTTTTTCTTTTAATTATACTCGACTATATTTGTAGAATATTCCGGCTATTATCATTTTCGAGAGGGAAAAGACGCCTACAAAATCGCAAGAATTTTTAAGATACTCTTCCGGAAAGTTGAGAAGTCCCAGGTTCGAATCCTGGCTGAGGTAATAAATTTCTTCTTTCTTTCTTTCTTTTTTTCTTTTTAATTTAATTTAGGGGGGATTATTAGCGTTTCAGAATGATTGTGTTGAAACCGAATGTCGACTCGCAATTAAATCTGGAATAAATTGATTTAATAAAAGAATATAATGTATTATTTAAACATCCAAAATTTGACCGATCTTGGCTTTCTTTATCGTACTTGATGTATTCACATATACGGTCATGCTTAAAATTTTTAATATGTTCGCAAGAATTTTATTTAAAGGAGAAGTCAACAATTTTTTATGAATATCAAGTTCTGCGGACAATTAATTTTAATTTCAAGTTTTTAATCAAATAGAAATTTCCATTCGCTTTACGATCGATCTGCGATGAAAGTAGAAATAACTGATTATCTCCAGCGTTGCTATGAAAACTCTTCGTTCGTGATGCTCGAATTTCTCTTCAACGACCTGACGCCGTTATAGAAATCCATTATAGGATCCGTCAAGCCAAGAGACAGCCTTAAAATAATTTTGATCATGGTATGACCGTGATCGGTGTACGCAAAAAAAAAACTATGTATAGTAGAGCAAAAAAATTGGTATTGCAGTCACGCGTTACAGAAAACGTGACTCGCATAACAGATCGTAAGTGTTGATAAATTCCTGCATTCTGGAAGAAGTATGAGAAGATGAAGCAGTTGAGGAAGTAAAATGCTAAAGAGATAGGTACAGAAGAACATCAAAGCGTCGAATGATCATAAGACAGAAAGGTAGGAGTAAAATAAAAGTTGTGAGGTGCAGTTGATATAGAAATCAATTTTTGTCGTTCGCATTTATCGATATTCGATATTAGCTTATATCGAATAAACGTAGAGAAAAGACATATTCTTTAATTAATTCTATTTAGTATAATTTTAATATTTATATATATTTCAATTATTATATATATTTCAATTTATTAAATTTCATGATAAAGCTTTAGAAATACTACATACTATAAAAAAAAATTATAAAAATAGATATTACAATTAACGATGTATTAAAATATTCAATTTAATATCATATACGGCAGGAATTTTTCTGATCTCTAATGGCAAATACAATTTAAATATTTAATATACCGTGAAATTTTAATCAACTATACATTAATATGTATCAATTTACCTATTATAAGATATATAACTTGATTTATTACATGTACTGCAAGTATATATTATTTATTGCATCGGGATGAGTAAGATGATTTACATCGGGAAGAATTACGTTATTTGAAAAATTGATTACGCCGTCGAGTATCATTTATCAAGATAGACTGAGATAGAAGAGGGGAGATTTTAGTCACGAAGAGCTTTCGCTGCAGTTCTTCCTTTGTTGGCCATAAGAAGTCGATTGCATACTCATTGCTGATTAGGTCGTCGCAATATCGACGGAATGATGCACTCGCGCAATGCGCCATCAAAAAGTCTTTTCTGGAATCGCCGACGTCCGCGGAGGTCTCGTCTCGATATTCTCGTATACACGTCTTTGAGTATCGATCGAAATGTCGATAGTTGACAGAAGTACACGATTACGGGGAAAAAGCTGCTTTTAAAAAGAACGACTTGACCTGACAAAAAAAAAAG